GAGGCAAGAAGTATTGAAATCAGTTATTAGATGATAGACACGAGCATGTTTATTCGTGTACAAAGGAGATTTTTATTTTTTATGTTTAGATATCCAAATGACAAGATCAAGAATCAAAGATCATTTTCCATTATAAAATCAATATCTGAAATGAGGAAAGTATATACCTTTTGAGTAAACAGACTCACAACTCTGTATTATCCTCCCAAGATTTCTTTCTCACAATCAAAACTCTTTCTTCAATGGAGGAGAGAGCATCAGCACTCGGTTCCGCCTCTGATACCCATCCATTCCACTTTAAGGCAGCCAAGAATTTCCGTACATGGTTTATGACAGAAGGCCTGTCTCTTATGATGACAAACCCTTCGGGCCTTAGCATTCTGTCCATTTCAATAAGCAAATCCTCCGAGCTACAACCAATTGCCTCAATCTTTGAGAAGATTGACCATGCATGTAGTAGGTCATAGGTGCGTGGGTAAGTTGAAAATGATTCACACCTGCAAAAGATATTGAACACTGAAGCTCAACTATTACTCTTTTTTTTTTTTAGAAGAAGATCCTACATATTCACAAAAATAAAGGAAATGAACTATGTTCTTGTGTGCTGTCTTTTAACAGGGAGGTAATTTTGATAGGGTCAGAATTTGAAAAATTAAGCATTCATACTGTAAACTATTTGAAAAATTAACGCAATGTTCTGAGTCTTGTGACTATGGAATCTCGTGGTAATCCATGATCAACTTCCTTTCTTAGTCGTATCCCCGCTGCCTCCTTGAAAGAGAGAGGACCTAAATCACTAGACAATGGGGGCCAACTTGCCCAACCAAAATGCATAGTTTTTCTGTATCACCTTTGACCCTCCCAGGACCTTGAATATAACCTCATACACGCAAACAAAAAGTGTCTAATTATCAGACAAGGAAATGTACTATCCACGAACTAAATAAATAAAATAAGTATATCTTGTCAAGCAGTGATTTTTTATTATTACTATTATTATTATTTTTTTGGATGAAATATCTTGTCAACCAGTGTGATTCGTTCATCTTCAAAATAAAAGCATTTAGAATCCTTTTAAGCTCCTCAGGTAAGCGTGACAGCATTTCCACATTGCATCCAAAAGAAGTTCAAAAGTATCAACCAAAAACAGTGAGACTGTGAAGAGAAACAGCCAAACAGGAGAGAAATTGGAACTTGACCCTTTATCCTGTATCTTTATTTCTTTAGAAAAAATGCAGAAAAACTGTAACATTTCCCATTTTCTACTTTGCACTGATGAAAATCATAAATGACAGGGGAGATGAGTGTCATTTCCAATATCTTAGGGGATTTAAATTAAATGTAATTTGACCAGGTCTCATGCGAGGTACATGCAAATAACCAGAACTAGAACCAGCATGTTCTTTATGGACATGTAATATAAAACACAAATTAACTATTTAACGCAATATTATAAAGCGGAGTCACTGTGCCAATTTAAAGATAGCTCATGAGAGAGAGACAATGGCCCTTCCACAAGTACTGGAGGAGATTTTTTTTATTTGTGAGTGGCTGGGAGAACGGATGGACAAGACAGCCGAGAAAGACCTGAACTACTAATGAGAATAAGTGCCTTACCAGTCATGAACTGTTCCAATAAGACCTCGATCATATATAATCTTCAATTTGTCAGATGCATTAAATGGAGCAACATTCATCACCCAAACATCCTTGTTCCTTAAAGCAGAGGCAAATCCACCAAGGTGTGAGTTCATGTCCATGACATTTCTGACTGAGTTCCTTTGTACAACAGATTTCATCTGCTTCCAATACTCGGACACTCGGTAATGCCATACGATCTGCATCACATTTGTATCCGTTAAGTTGCAATAATTGAAACAGAATCTTTGACTAAAAATGAAATATTCATATTGGCAAGCAAACAGTTGTGTTCCCCAGAGCTTAAGATCCTCACAGAGTCTTTTTTAAATACTTCGGGACTGACTCCAATTTCTTCCAAACGAGGAGGTGCTGCAGAAAGCCTTTGTGGCCAGGGTTCTAGTCCACTCCCTTTCTGCCGATGAATCTCTGTTCTCCCATATACGTGGACATTCAATGCGTTAAAAGCAGAAAACATGGAGTAGAAACCTCAAAATAAAATTTCTACCAAGCGATGAATAAATGAAAAGTACCACCAACGCATAGAGACATATTTTTCAATCATCACAAGTGATGGAAAAATAATAATTTAAAAAAGAACCCTACTTAGATTAAGGAACAACAGACTTTGGCAGGCTGTATATTGTTATGGTAATATGAAAACGAGATGTTTTTATATACTTAGGATAGGTCAAACAAACTATTACAATTGATCATCTTTACGGAAAATTCAATGTCAACCCTAAATGATATAGACCTTTTGTCTATAGGGGGTTATGTGCGTTGTTTTGCTTCTGATCTATGATGCATGACATGAACACGTGTATCACGTGTTGGATACTCCGATAGGCGATTTTTTCAAAAAAAGTATTGACACGTCACATAGTCAACACGTTGGTTAAATTCATTAAAATTCTTCATTTGTACTATATAAATTTAGTTTTGTGCTTATTATTATTATTTTTGTTAAAATCTTTCAAATATAAGTACATATTTTTTGTTTACTAATAATTTTGATTTAAAAATATATAATATTTTTAATAAAAAGAAAAATGATCATTGTAAAGTATTCGAAGAGTGATATTATTCAACACGAGTTGGACACGGACGTGCTACCATAATTGAAGCGTCCGTATAACAGAGCTTCTAATTAGTGATGTTTAACTAACATAAGATTCGTTGCAAAAAAATGATTACCAAGGCCATTTGAGTTGAATGCTATAGAGAAAAAAATGAAGATAAAAAGAGAAAATCTCATATAGACAAGATAACACCAAAATTTTTCATCGTGATTACATTTAAATAAATATTGAAAAACACAAATAATTAGCTGTAAAAGGATTAGGATACATACTTTCAGAATATGGGGTGATGCACGCCTTCATGAGAACATTCCAAGTTGAATCCGGATCATCATTAGAACTACACATGGGTGGGTTGGTTCCAAGATTTCTCTTTAAGTAGCATTTGTTACTCAAAGGCTTAGCCCATATCACTGTTTGGTCTCTCCTTGCAACAACTCTCCAGCACATTCTTCTCAGCAGGTCATACATAGCATTCCAAATTCTTCGATTCTCCAGGTCATGTGCATAAGCTTCTGGTGAGGAGTACACAAAATATCCTCCAGGTCTAAGCAATCTGTCCAATTCCAACAAAAGGATCCCATCTCTCTGGAGCCAATCAATCCTACAACGGGAACAATGAGCCAATTCAAATGATCTGCTGGGGTATGGTAGTCTTTTGGTTCCCAAGACACCTAGAGTAGCTGGGATCCCCCTTTCTAGGGCAAACTGTATTTGATTTTCATGGACATCGTTAGGAGCAAGGGACATAGCTATGATGTTATGGCGGAGAAGATAGGCCCCAAAACTTGCAACTCCACAACCCACATCAAGAACACTTCGAACATGACCACCGTTGTTGAGTTTTTCACCAGGAAACTTAAGCATCTATGAAGCACAACAATTGAAAATAAAAAAATATGGAGGAATTATAAATAAGATCAGATTTAATGCAGCTCATAATTGAAACTAACTATACAACGCACCCCTGCAATAGCTGTAATGTATTTATCAGCTCCATCATGGAAATGGGTTCCACCACCTGGAAACTTTATTTTCTCCCCGTCCACAACCATCCAATTCTGGTCTGATTTCTCTTGTGCAAGATGTGTATGGGGTATGTTTGCCTTCCACACTTGGTCCCTACTTGCCGGCCATCTAATTGGGATCTGGACTTCTAAATCAACCCATTGGAATCAAAACTAACAAAACTGAATAGTATTTAGAGTAACATGTTTAATTGCAACAAGTCGAGATACATTAAAGGTACAACCTTGGGTCTCAAATAAGTGATTCATTATTCAGCCGAGGGAATTCAGTCATATGAAGATAATTCAGTTCCCAAGGAGAAAAAATCAAAGTCTAAATTAGGATAGAAACATGGAACAGATAAAGTAATAAACCTTGTAACCAGTGGGAGGAGGAATGAGGCAATTCAAACGCCTCTCTGGAGGTGGACAATGTCTTTCATAATGCTCCATTAAACTCAAATTAAGCTTCAATTTCATTTGATATATTAAATTTCTATCCAGACACGGTATCAACTCTGAATATCTCAAATCACAAACCTACAAACCACAATCCAGAAAAAACATGAATCCAACATCACTGGAGATCAGAATAGTTTACTACAAAAGAACAATTGCATACCGGAATGCTTTTGGGAACTTCAGGATTGTGTTGTTCTTCATCTTCAAACAATTCATCAAAGTCCTTTTTCACAATAAATCTACCAGTAACAGGGTCAACGCCATTTTCAAACGAATCATCTACTCTCGGCAGAGCCGGTGCAAACAATGACCCGTTATACAAACAAAGCAAACCCAAAAACAGTACCAATCCAACCAACACATACTTCAACAGCTTCGTCGAGTGGATAGCATCACTCTTCAGCTTCATTTTCGGTACAAAGCAGAATCCAATTTTCCAGGAGAATCAAAGAGTCAAACCCCTAGTGACAGAGCAGATCCATTACTGAAGGACGAAGCAAAAGGGTGAATTAAATTTTTTCTACGGTTTTTTTTGAAGAAGTACTTTCTGGGGAAGGTTGTATGTGCGTGTTGTACGCATAGAAATGGGAATAATGCATAAAATCTGGGGATAGGAAAAGGACAATAGACCGCAGAACATGTCGACGTCGTTGGAAAAGAATGACGCCGTTTTTGTGTTGAGGAAGAGAGCTTGGTGCTGACGTGTGTGCAGGAGCTAATATCGTAAAATCCTCAACTTATATTTTATAGTATTTAGGTCCATAACTCTTCAATTTGTAATATTTTCATTTAGAACAATATTCATCTATTTGTAATTGAAAAGTCTAATTTTGTAGCCTCCATTTGGTAAATTTATTATTATTATGTGTATAAATTGATCAAACTTTATTTATTTCGATAGACATACAAATATTACTCATTTTTATCTATTTATAAATTAAAATAAAGTGACCATAAATTCTTCCCAAATGAAAGGCTTAACGTTAACTACGTATGAATATTGATAAGGGTTGGGGACATTAGGTGTCATAATGGCCCTACTACCGGGTTTGTTGAAGCCAATGTAGTATTTAATAATAAATTGATGCCACTCTTTTGTGACTACTCCCTCTAGAAATTGATGCACTCAGACAAATTCCAATTTAATACCTACTTCTGTCACATTACGCCAAGAATAATGTATAAAAATGAATTCTGTAACATTGATCACCGAACATGGGCTGATGTTCTCGCAAATGATGAGTAACATCATGCTTCTAGCAAACTGCAAAAAGAACATCGCAAACATGACATTAATATACCGATATTTGTCTCACTAAAATAGGTTTTGATGTACCAGATTCCCACATACCTGAACATCATATCTCGAGGATATGGAATGACATCCCCCTACCGTTTTACAATTGATGTGCTCGAGAATGGTCCTCGGGGAATGTGTGAGTGCTCGAGAATATCCAGTCATGCGGTGACAACATACTGTGATTGACGTCCTCGGGATAGGTTGATGGGCCCCCTTAACGGCCCACGATAGTTGCTATTGACCCAATGGGATCCCTATGCACTTAGGACTCTAACTCTATCCAAATACACCAATGCCTGACCCCCACAAGGACTCTATCTTCAACACGTCCCTACAATGACTAGCAATCGCAATATCATTCCAACTCCTCTATTTTACATGATTATTGGATAAGAACATTCACCCAGTTCAAATCCTACTAGGGGTGTACCACCTACTCCTATAAATAAAAAGCATTAGGACATTACCCAAGTACGTTTTTCATTATTTCAATACATAGCTTTATGTACAAATTTCCTTTCTAACTTAAGTATTGGAGGGGCGACAAAAACACACCTCGTCGCCTTCGTTTCAGGTACCGAAAGACTACGATCGTGCTCATTCACAGTCCTCAACCTTGGGAAATTAGAAGGTGCGAACTTTTGGTAGCATCATTGGCACTGTCTGTGGGAAGCACTACCAAAAGCCATGGTTAACACACGATCAGATCTTCCTCCGATAAGCTCATTGTTCCCAACACTCATCCTCCTGAAGGTCAACCTGCTCCTAAAAAAAAGTCGTCAGAAATACCAGCGCCCCAGCCCACAGTTGTCACAGCTGGAGCTTTTAAACAGCTCTATCAACAGGTGGCCATGCTAACTCAGCTATTGAGTCAAAGAAATTCGCATTTGTCACTAATGTCGGCAGATCATTGTGGTTTTATGAATGATGCTCGAGCCCTAGCACCGAACCTCGCAACTGGTGAAGATGGAGTAGGAACCTCGGGTGTTCGTAATATAACCTCAGGCTCGAGATAGGTGACTATGGATTCCTGTGAGATTGCTTGGATTATTCAAGAAGGGATTACAGCTGGCTTGCTTCAGAATACTCGGGGGCCAACGAGTTTTACTCCAAACATTCCATTTACGCCAGAGATATTGTCATATCCTTTGCTCGACAGATTCAAGTATCCTCGTATTAAAGAATATGATGGGACAACCGACCCGATCAATTACCTCAATGTGTATACTGATGTCATGAATATTCAGGTAGCACCGGACTAGGTGATGTGTAAGGCCTTCCCGCAAACATTGACTAGTGCTGCTAGGGATTGGTTCTCAACATTGGAGCCTAACTCCATAGCCTCATTCTCAGACTTGGCCGATAAGTTCTTAGCCTTCTTTGCAAGCAGCAAGTGCATCAGAAAGACTGTGGTCTCTCTCATACAAATTCGTCAAGGGCAGAACGAAACCCTACGTGGTTTCATGACAATGCTTAACAAAGAAAGGCTCCAAATACTCGACCTTCACATTACCGCAGCTGTCTCCGCCCTCATTATGCTATAAGGTGTGAGGCCTTCGAAATGCCCTTATTAAAAATCCTGCCATAGACAATGACCGAGCTCTTTACCAGAGCTGAAAAGTATATTACGCTGAATCCGAAAAGAGTTGGTCCGTCTCATGAGGTCGAGCTCAAGAGGCAACATGATCCCATTCCTCGGCAAGAGCATCCTCGGGATAAGCGCAAGAATGAAGTGCCACCAGTACCTCTTACTCGGTTGAACACCTCCAAGGCAAATATCTTGATGGAGATCAAGGATATGAAAGAATTGAAGTGGCCTTCAAGAATGAAGTCACCCCCTGACACCAGAGATAGGAGCAAGTATTGCGAGTTCCACTAGGATCATGGGCATACCACGGAGGATTGTAAAGCTCTGCAGTGGAAGATTGAAGTCCTTATTAAAAGAGGGTTCTTAAGTAATTATGTTGGTCATGATAAATGCTCGAGAAATGACCGTGGTAAGCGGAAAGAGCCCGAGGTCGGAAGTAGTGGTCAACCCACGATCAAGACCATTAATATCATCATTGGAAGCATAGTGTCTGGGAAGACACAAATAATGGACGGAAGCAGTACGCTCAACAACATGCTCGTGCTTCGAAGGAATTCCATGATAAACTCGATGACATTACTTTTGGGGCAACAGATTTGGAAGGAGTATCGTATCCTCATGACGATGCTTTGGTCATCTCTGCCATTGTGGCCAACTTTGAAGTAAAGAGGATTCTGATCGACAATGGGAGTGCAGCAAACATAATCTCTCAGGAAGCTTTCATAGAAATGGGGATCTCAGCTAACCAACTTAAGGCAGTTAGAACTCCTCTTCAAGGTTTTGATGGTGGTATGATTATCCCAGAAGGAATTGTCGAGCTTCCTTTTACATTGGGTTTTGGTAAAGAATAGGTGACAGAGATCACGCCCTTCCAAAATAGTTAGCACTCCCCTGGCTTACAACGTTATCTTGGGATGGCCGCTGCTCAATAAGATCCAAGCCATTGTATCCACTTTCCACCTCGCCGTGAAGTTTCCCACCGGTCATGCTGTTGGAGTGGTACGAGGAGACCAGATGGCTGCAATGCAGTGCTATGTCACTAGCATCCGAGGAATAAGTGCTAATGTCATACAACTCCTCAAGCTCGAGCATAGGGACAGACTTGCTCCAGTTGAGGAGTTGGAGGTGGTCGAGCTCGAGTACGGGAAAAAGGTGACTATAGGTCGGGATCTTACCACTAGTCTCAGGACAGAAGTCATCGATTGTCTATCCCGCAATATTGATGTTTTTGCATGGAAGGTTGAGGACATGCCGAGGATTGAACCTGAGGTCACAGTACATAAGCTAAACATAAGTCTAGGGGCCAGACCAGTTAAGCAGAGGAAAAGACAATTTGCACCGGGAAGGATAGAGGTCATTCAGGAAGAGGTTGGTAAACTTATCAGAATTGGGTTCATACGGAGGTCCAATTCCCCAAGTGGCTGGTAAATTTTGTCCTTGTAAAGAAGGCTAGTGGAAAATGGAGAGTCTGTATTGATTTCATGAATCTTAATAAGGCATGTCCAAAGGACAGCTACCCACTTTCTCGAATTGACAACCTTGTGAATGGTACATCGGGACATAAGTTGTACAGCTTCCTCGATGCATTCTTAGGGTATCATCAGATTCGTATGGCCGAGGAAGATTAGGAGAAGACGTCCTTCATGGCTGATTCCACCATATACTGTTATTAGGTCATACCGTTTAGGTTGAAGAATGTTGTGGCGACATAACAAAGACTCGTCAACAAAGTCTTTGCCAATCTGATAGGAAAAAATATTGAGGCCTATGTTGATGACATGGTGGTGAAAAGCAAGAAGCTGGAGCATCATGTAGCCGACCTCGAAGAAGTGTTTGTCATCCTACGAAAGTATAAATGAAGCTCAACCCAAAGAAGTGTGTATTTAGCATAGCATCGAGAAATTTTTGGGTTTCACGATCACTCACCAGGGAATTGAGGTAAACCCAGATAAGATTCAAGCCTTGGTAGCAATGGAATCACTGAGGAGTAAGAAAGAGGTCCAGAAGTTGACTGGCCGCATCGTTGCCCTTAACAGGTTCATGTCTTGAGCAGCAGTTAGGTTTTTTCCATTCTTCAAAGCTCTTAGGGGTAATCAATGCTTTGAGTGGAGTAACGAGTGTGAAAAGGCTGTTCAAGAGCTCAAGAAGACCTTGGCATCTCCCTCCGTCCTTACCAAACCAGTACTCAGAAATACTTTGTTTTTGTACTTGGCCGTTTCTCAAAATGCAGTGAGTGGTGTTTTTGTGAGAGAGGTCAGTAGGGTCCAGCACCCCATTTATTATGTCAGCAAGGTCTTGCTTGATACAAAGACAAGGTACACTTTAGCCGAACAGCTTGCCCTTGCATTGATAGTATCAGCACGAAAACTTCGACGGTATTTCAATACCATCCTATTGTTGTGCTCACTAATCGGCCTCTCAAGCATATACCCCAAAAATCAGACGTCTTAGGCAGGTTACTGAAATGAGCAATTGAACTCGAGAAATTTGACAATAGTTCAAATGCCGACCATTTATTAAGGCACAGGCCTTAGCTGATTTCATTGCAGAACTCACACCAAGGCCTCGGGGGCCAAAGGATAGCCCGAGCATTATCCAGGGGTCATCGGAGATTTTTGTATATAGAACGACAAACTCCTTGGGCTCGAGTGTTGAGGTCATCATCGTGAGCCCGGACAGGCTCATAGACATTTAATGTGCGCTGAGGGTTGAATTTGAGGCAACTAACAATGAAACAGAATATGAGGCCGTCGTCATTGCTTTGGAACTTGCCATCAATCTTGGGCTCGAAAACATTAGAATCTTCAGTGACTCTCAACTTATGGTTGGCCAAATTGAAGGATCATTTGAGATGAAAGACGAGAAAATGAGCTTATACTATTTGAAGGCTCATGACCTTCAGCGACGGTTCAAGAGTTGCGAAATCATGAAGATTACCCGAGCTGACAATTGTAAGGCCATGCGTTATCCAGGCTGGTGATCATAGAGATTGATGGGCTTGATAGGACAATCCACATCAAAATTGAGACTGAGCCCAGCATCAGTCAAACCATTGACAGCATATGGACATTGACCATGAGCCATCATGGATGGACACGATAGTGGACTTCATAGTGAATGGTCATCTCCCAGAAGATCCTAGGACAGCAAGGGGTATCCGTTTAAAAGCACCAAGGTACTGCATGATTGGAGGGGTCTTATTTCGCAGAAGCCTCACTCTTCCATACCTTAGTTGTCTTAAACCCTTTGAGTCATCCCAGGCCCTAGCTAAAGTCCATGAAGGTGTATGCGGGAACCATCAAGGAGCCCAGACATTAGCCTTCAAACTCATAAGGTATGGGTATTATTGGCTTACCATGAAGAAAGACGCCTTGGAATATGTTAAGAAGTGTGATAAGTGCTAGAGGTTTGGCAACGTCATCCGCTCTCCGGCGAAGAATCTCACTAACGTCAACTGCTCGACCCTGTTTGAGCAATGGGACGTTGATATTCTCGGTCCCTTTCCGATAACAAGGGGCCAATTGAAGTTCGTAGCTGTAGTGGTTGAAATCCTAACTTTTTTGCTTGAGCTCGATCTCACAAGAAAGTGTTCACAGAGAGTGAAAAGTAAAAAATAAGGGCGTAAAAGGGTATATATAGGACTCTTGAGGAAGACCAAAGGTCACATCAATCTCGGCCTTTGACCCATGCCACGTGTTATCCATCCAAGTACCCTCCATTTTTATCGCCATTCCTCGTGGTCGTGCACCATCATCTCAATGTCTCTTCTTTAAGTTACTAACCTCGACGAACTACCTATCATCACCTCGAGCTATGTGCATCTCGCTCCCTGAGGATTTGCTTCTATGCTCAATCTCAGGGGCGGATGCACGAGGGCTAGTAATGTGCCAGATTCCCTCATACCCGAACATCATCTCTATAGGATATGGAATGACATCCCCCTCTCATTTTACAATTGATGTACTCGAGAATGGTCCTCGGGGAATGTGTGAGTGCTCAAGGATATCTAGTCATGTGATGACAACATACTGTGATTGACATCCTCAGGATAGATTGTCCTCGAGGATGGGCCTCCTTAACAGCCCACGATAGTTGCTATTGACCCAATAGGATCCCTATGCACTTGGGACTCTTAACTCTATCCAAATATACCAACGCCTGACCCCCACAATGACTCTATCTTCAACACGTCCCTACAATAACTAGCAATCGCAATCATTCCAACTCCTCTATTTGACGAGATTATTGTATAAGAACATTCACCCAGTTCAAATCCTAATACAAAGCATTGGAACATTACCAAGTATGTTTTTCATTATTCCAATACATAGCCTAATGCACAAATTCCCGTTCTAACTTGAGCATCGGAAGAGCGACGAAAACACATCTCATTGCCTTTGTTTTAATTACCTAAAGACTACGATCGTGCTCATTCACAGTCCTCAAACTCGAGAAATTAGAAGGTGCAAGCTTTTGGTAGCATCAGGTTTCAACCTGACAAAAACTTGGGTTTTGAGTTAACCAGTTAAATCTCACTCATTAAACCTGGATTGTGTCTTAAACAATGTTGAAAATCAAAGCCAACATGGATTTAGAAAGATCAAATTCATCTGACAACACTTTCTTTTGGGTTTGTGCCAGGAGCAAACAGGAAGAGCTTTATCATACATAAAATGCTTGGCAACCACTACCGATCAATCTTGAAGAACTTGCAAATAAATGCGAGCAGCCCATAAACTTGGTAGATTATACAGGCGTTCACAGGTCAGTTTACTTGAACTGGAACTTGCACTATACAATTCTTTCACAATAATCTTAAAAGGTTTGGTGAAAGTCACTAAATTCATCAAATCCAACAGGCACAATGGACAAGATACAGAAATCATATAACAAGGATGCATCTATAATTTAGCTGCAACATCCACCTCTTTGTGCAACTGCTCCATCTCTCGCCCCGGGTTGACCTTGGGGCCGCCCATAGCCAACCTTGATGCCAGACGACTGCAATTCCAAAAAAATAAAAAATATCGCACAGATATAATTAGAGTTCTGATGTGAAACAAATAGCAGGAGAACCTTCAATTTTAAAGGAAGACATCAATAATCATTAATCCCTACAACCCCAACTGGTTGGGCAAACAATAAATTGCCAGAAAGGTCTTACATGCACAAGAAATGCTAATTCATCATAGCTTATCTCCCAGTCTTATATTGGCTTATGAACCTATATTGAAGCTACACCATTCTTTTACAATGCATATGGCTTAGTTGAATAAAGAGAAGATACTCTCCAGCCTCTAGGGCAAGTAATGTTAAAAAGCATTACAAGATAAACAGTGCAGAAACAACAGAAAGTTGTCCAGTTTATTTCCTAAGAACCACATTAAACTTACCTCATTGGATACATCAAATACACCTTCCTGGATCTTCTGAAGTATTTTTGCCGCGGTCTTTGTGAATGCCTGCAAAAGAGTACATTAAAAGTACATATAAAATAAAATAAAGATGCAGACTGGATAGAAAGACTTCTATAATGCAGAATTCGCATAAAGAAAGAAAGGTTTCGTCAGATTTTGGTTCAAATATGGCACCTCCTCGACATTTTGGGCTGTTCTAGCAGATGCTTCCAAGAATAAAAGTCCATTTTCTTTGGCAAACTGCTCTCCCTCCTCTTTGCTTACAGCTCTTCGGTGAGAAAGATCACTTTTGTTTCCTACAAGCATGATCGTCATGTTTGGGTTTGCATGCTGCCGAGCATCTTCCAGCCAGCTTGCAAGATGATTAAATGTCTCTCTCCTAGACAACAGACATCTTCCCAGTGTAAGAAGAAAAAGATTCAAATTATAAAAGAACTGGAACCTAAGTGGAAAGATAAAAGAACTGTCTGGCCCTAGACTGATACAATGCAGGGAAATCAGAGGTTTGACATAAGAAGATGAGCTCACATCATGAACATTTACAACTTGTTTATGGTTCCTAATTCTTTTCTACTGCATTCAACCCTGAGTACATCTAACTTTCAAAAAGAAAAAAAAATGCAAATCACATGACACTACATGGTACACATGCGAAGAGCAAACAAGTGTATATGGTCTATATATTCCTTTCTGTTTAATGGAAATAAATTGATTAAGGCTATCTTTTATTTCTATTTTTCCAAAATACATTTTTCTCTCTTCTTTTCAACCACACATTTTTTATTAAAATAATATTACACATAAATAAAATTTTTTTTTTTATTTTTCAATCACACATTTTCCATCATTTTACTATTCTAAAATGTATTTTTTCATAAAAATGGGGATCAAACACCCTCTAAATATGAATACTCCAAAATTATAAAACTAAGTAACCACTAACCAAAGCTTTTTAATCGTATGTAGGAGTGAACACCAAGACTCATACAGCATAAGAGTATCTTCAAGAGACTATTCAAATATGAGATGCTCTTTATTTTAAAGAGTTAACTTTTAAAATTATGCTCCAAGAGACTCTTTAAATTAATATTTTAATTTAGAGAGTGGGATTTGGCTCTCAAACTCATTCTCTATAATTAAATACATTCAAAGTATTTCAATTTTTAACGTAAGAAAATAAAAAAATAATCTAAAAAAAAAGAAGCTAACTAAAATAAAAGATAGAGAAAAATAATAAATATTTTTTTGAGTAGTAAAATTAAGCGTTAAATATAAAGAGCTTATTGAAGTATTTCAAAAATTTTAACTCTCTAAATTTATAGATGCTCTTTAAAAATAAAAAATAAAAATAAAAAGTATCTTGAAGATGCTCTAATCACGGTGTAATACAGTCAGCCATAGCTCCAAAAGTGATAGTCCACGTAAGAAAATTCTGATCTGAAATCAGCTTATTCTTTCATGAAATGTAAGAGTTGTCTAATGTGTCCCAAAGATGCATGGAATCTTGTCAGTCAGAGAAATGAAAGCAGCCAGAGCACTACTAAAGATAAACAACTGACCATTATTCAGGAAACAGTACATTCTAAGTACAAAAGGGAAAAGAACAGAATATACACAGCCCTACCTGGTTATGTCGTAAACAAGTAGTGCACCGGCTGCTCCCCTGTAATATGATCTAGTGATGGATCTGAAGGATTCTTGACCAGCCTACAAGATAAAAGAGAAATTGATTGACTTATCTGTGAAGAGCAAATATAAACCAAAGACAATTCAGACAACCAAAAGAATTAACTGAATGACAAAAGGATGGAAAGTTTAAAATACATAAGACACGATATTTACAGATCACAAGAAATCAGCATCTTATTTAGAGTCAATATTTTTAAATGCATATCTCATTCCTTCCCAACTAGAAGTTCATTTTCAGAAGAGAGAGTGTATTTTTTGAAGAAAAGAATGGAAGAAAGGACATTAATTAGGTACTAGCTTTGTTTGATTATCATTTTTCTCAAAATACAATTTTTTCTCTCTTCTTTACAACCACATACTCTTCATTAAAATAATGTAACACGTAAAATAACCCTGATGCGGAAATCATCCTCATCAGGCAATTTGTTGGGCCGTTTTATCTTCTATTTATTTATTTTAGACTTAATGTTTCATTGGGCTTGTCTATGGGTTTGGCCCAAGCCCAATTTTATTTTTTTGTTATTTATATGGTTGTAATTTAGATTGAAAGATGAGTTGGATGGAATGAAAAGTATTC